GTTAACGTAGCTATGAAATGTTACCGGTCCACCTTTTACAAAACTTTCTTTACATCCATAGGCGCGCAGCGGATAACCATTTTTTTAAATTTTATGACCAAGCAGAGCAGGGCTTTTTCCATAGAAATTAATGTAAAGTATTTCCGGACTTTAGAAATTCGACCAGCAGTCACGTGACACTAATGTTGGAACCGGTTGGAGGTTGCAATAAGCTCTCTACCAGTATATATCTCGTTGGAATTTCATTAGTAGGAGGAGTGAAATGATTTATATGGGAATGAATGTAGCATGATGTGTTGAGCATAGTAATAAAATGTTAAAGTATTAGAAATCTGAAAGCATTGGGAAGAGCAAGACTCATTGTCGGCTTCCTGTCGGCTAACTGTCCGTGTCAGCAAAATGTCCTGCCAGCTAGGTGTCCTGTCAGCTAAGAGTCCTTGTTGTCTAAATGTCCTGTCGCCTAAGTATCTTTGCAGGCTTAATTTGGCTAAGCGTCCGTGTCGGCTAAATGTCTTGCTGGTTAAGTGTCTCGTGGACTAAGTGGTTGTCGGCTAAGTGTCTGCAACCGAGCTACAGCACATGAAGTCGCTTATGCGATTGAGGAAAAAGTAGATGTAATTTTATTGCAAGAGCCATAGCATAGAAACAGCAGTTTCCAGGCTTTCCTCAGCAGTAGGACATTTATGGGTGCATCAATGATGCACTCATAGATGTTCACGATGCCACAGGCTAAGCACCAAGGGCAGCCACCATGTGCTGCAACTCAAACTGGTATCCGCTCATTAAGATTGCAAAATGTGATCATATAGCCAAACTCCTCGAATTAAATCATCTCATAACCATAACCTCAACTTACTCGCCTCCTTCAGAATAGATGCTGCTCTCAATTTGATAGACAGTCTTAATGCAATATGCAGCACCTTTAAAAATCTATGCAAGAGACCACAGTGAACACAGTATATAAGCTGGGGATATGCAATTACCTATGCAAAAGATCTACAACTCGAGGATTACATAGCTGCTGATAATCTGATGCTCATAATATCCTAGCAGCCACACCATCATATATCACACATAATGGCAGAGGCTGGCCAGATCTTACCATCTCCACACAGCAGAACAGCAACTTCATTCAAGACTGGGCAGTGGATGATCAAAATCTCTCCGATCACGACTACATTAACTTTACATTAAATTGTGTCTCTTCTGCAATCAAATGCTACAGTCTCCCAGGCAGCAAAATTAATATCGCTGGTAATCACATTTGATAAAATCTTTCCACAGTCATGCCAGATCTACAAGCACAACAAGTAAAGCTCTAGATGTATTCACAATGCAACTGTTAAGCACATTATGCAATACAAGTGACAAGTAAAGAAACTATACACTCTAAACTGGTGGACCAAGGACCTTAGTGTGCAGCAAACTAAATGCAAAGCATGCCACCACAAGACTGAAAATTGATAGACATTTGAATATTTTAACTACAACTTTAGAATAACTTAGAAAGGAAAGAGCAGACTGCAAAAGAATGATCATCGATGCAAAGCTTGAGAGATTTCTGCACTAAAAATAGACACACATTCGACATTTTGCACAAGAGTGCTACTAACAAGGTCTACAAGCCTATGGAATTCCATCTTAAAAAATCAGAACAGAAAATAATACAACAAATGGCATGAGAGAAACATTCAACAATACCCTGGATGCAGTCTTCCTGATGGACTATCCTTCAGAAGATACAATGAAGCAACGGTACATTCATGCAAACAATACAGCAGTCAGCACTGTTAAAGATAAAGAACTCACAAAAGAAGAAATACAACAGATCTTCAAGAACCTTCCTTTAAAGAAAGCACCTGGCCTAGACAATATAAATTATGCAATAGTCAAAATTACTTATAAAAGTTTTCCAGTATTTTTCTTAATTTTTCTCAACAAGCTTCTGCATGCCAGTCTTTTCCCCACTGATTTCAAAGTTGGGCAAGTCATATTCTTTCTTAAACACAACAAAGAACCTAGTACCCAGATTCATACTCTCCAATATGACCGCTTTCAGCACTAGGAAAAGTATATGAAGAACTTCTAGTCAACTGCCTGAAGCAGCACCTACATAAACTTCAACACAATCAGTGAATTTCAATATGGCTTTAGACAAAGAAAATCTACTACACGCACTCATGACTATGAAAAACTACAACCTGGAGAACAGGCCCAATCCCTACCACACAGCCATCCTCAGCCTCAATCTTACGAGTGCAATCGATACCTTGTAGTGGCCAGCTATTAAACACCCAGTGGAATGAGCAAGATGGCCCGCAAACATAACATCAAGCCTACATCAGTTACCTCTTGAACCACAAGCAGATTGTCATGTATAACAATGGCATCATACAATGCAAACAGACATGAGGATGCACACAAGGACCACGTGCTGGCCCAATCTTATGGAATCTGACCTTCAATAGCACATTAACTACTATTTGGCCTGAGCACACACAAGTAATAGCTTACGCAAATGATGTTGCTTTCATAGTCCAGGGGAAATCCAAAAATAAGATGATGATATAAGGAACTCAAAACTCAGCAGTTCTATGATCTCCGCAGTGCCTTGAAACTGATTACATTGGAAGGTAAATCCAAGGTCCTTATAATTCCAAAAAAGGGAGTTGAGAGCAATATTAGACCAGGAATCACAATTAACAACAATAGGATTAAAACCATTAAAAAATTAAAGTACCTGGGCCTTACATGGGATAGAAGGCTGGCTGACTTGGATACCCCACATTAAGGAACTCACAACGTACTAGTCACATTGCCCAAATATTCCGAGAGTTTCAAGGAAACAAATGGGGACTAAATTTGCCCATTCAAAAGATGTTCTACTCAAATGTCATTGAAAGAATGGTTACATATGCTACTCTAGTCTGGGCCCAGCTGATGCAAGGGAAGAAAGTAAAACTTCTTCTCAGCATCAAGTGCTCCTTTGCACAAAACATCACAAGGCATTTCGCACAACAGCAACTGCATCGATTAATGTTCTGTCAAGTCACCGTGTTTGTGTTGAACAAGATGCAATAATTTGATGAGTATTTCATCTTTACACTCCCACAAGCCTCTTTGATGAGTGGCATTATCATAACAATTATGAAACACCAACAGTGACACTACGCATTTACTCAGTACTTAAAGGGAAAGGTGTTAACATACATCTGCACCATCATAACACTCCAGCTTATATATACGAATGGGTTATAAAGTAGAAGACAAAGTTGGTAGTGGACTAGTTCTTCAGCATGGAGGAGAAATCTTCATCTATGGAAGCAACAACTAAGAAACAATACCAGCATTTTTTAGACAGAAGCAGTAGCTATTTCCAAAGGCATCCAATACATCCCTTACAGGACATCACCATTCATACACACAATATACTGGTATTTCTGTCAATAATTAATCACCATCACACATCCCCTATAGTTATACAAATTCAGAGAAAATTCAGAAATATAAGGCACAAATCAGATGGCAAATGCAGTGGAATGAACGTGAACAAGGCCGTTACACATACTACTACATCACAAAAGTAGACAACAAATGCAGCATTACTTCCCTGCAATTAACAAGATTTATTATTGAACATGGTCCCTTTCCCGAATATTTTAATAGACATAGCATCAGCAACACCAATCTCTGTGTCTGTGAAGAAATTGGTACTCCACACTATTATCTTACCATCTGCTCACTTATTACATAACACCATCTTAAAACCTCCAGTAACAATACATAAGGCCTCTGCAAGTTCATGGTAAAACAACGTCAGCTGGTGACAAGGATCGCCCAGATTATCAGAAAGCTTGCAAAACCTGGAGCTGATCTATGCCCTGTTATGTAATTAAAAACAATATTGAACTCTTTTGGGGGGCGTGGTAAGTTAATGGGAATGGTACCTAGAGTCAAGATTTGATATTCACTCAGTTTGTTTCTAGCAGTTTAACTCTGAGTGTGACTACAGTATTTGGATGTTGTGCAATACATGTTTATAAATTTCTATATAGTATGTAAAGTATACTATTGTATGTTCTGCTCTAAAGTAATCCGAGCATCTGAAATAATGTAATAATTATGTAAATATGTCCTGAGCCACAATAGCTACAATATCTTGCAATGCTATTTGATGTACCTCTTAATGCTAGATATGCGGGGACAGGAGACAGTACTAACTAACCTTTTGGTAGAACGATGCTGTCTCTATCTCTTATCAACTGTCCAGCATGCTATCATATTGCACAACCTGTCTGGCTGTGAGAGGGGACCACACTCTATATTAAATTGATTTTCAGGTTTGATATCACAACATGGACTTTAGACACCCTACACTATCAGCTTTACTGATAATTATGGATAATTATGTGTATGTAAAATGACTTTTGTATAGTACATGTCTTTCTCTGTTATAAATGTATACTCATGCCAAATTTCATTAAAACCTGTCCATTAGTTTTTAGAAATTCTACATAATGTGCAAAGTCTCTCAATTTTGCATGAATGTGGATGCATACATGCACACATACATACATATAACATGCAAATATACTTACATTTCTGAATATGATCCCGATAACAGGAAAGTATATCCACATGGGTTATACAGACAAATTTTTTATATACTAAAAACCTTTTAGTCAATTGATCACTCAGCAAGAAACACTGCTCCATTTTAAGTACGAAATTTTTAATTGCCATAGTAAACTAAATTTCTTAAAGCCTTTTCTAATGTGGTGAACGCATAGAAATTATATGCCCCAGCTCCCCAAGAAAGGCGAAGACAGTTGATCAGTTGACATCTTACTAGTTGATGATTCTTAGCAATCAACTCATGGGGTAACTAGTCTAGGGTGCTATAATAAATTTTGGGAGAATAATTAAATGAAATAAAACCAAAAAATAAAAAAGTCTCCATTATACAGTGGTGTTATGTTTTACGGACAATGGCACTCCTTTTACAAAAAATAATTTCATAAAATACATAAGGAAAAATTAGCAAGCAGAGAGACACAAATAATAAATAAATATAAAATTTCAAGAAAAAATGATGTAACAAACTTTACCCTCATCGAAAATGCTTTATCTTTATATACATCATTAATCCATCTTAGAATCTGTCTAAAATTAGGATTATTTGCACGTACAGGGAATAAGCCAAGAAGGTGCATAACCAGGCACTTCTTATCTTGGGCATACACATCTCTAATACAAAAACAAGAAAAGAAAAAGCTGAGGGAAAAAATAATAAGAAAATAAACAAACAGATATTAATATAAAATACATTACCATGCAAAACTTAATGGATTGTTTCTACATACTCTCACATGACCTGTTAACTATAATTTCCACTATTTGTATATGAAATTACTTTTCTATTAAACTGGGTATTGTGGTAATTGCTAACTGGGTCATTGTGGTAATTGCTACATACTCCTTTCATGACTGTCTGTGTCAAAATTATGTCTGTGCTTAAACTTTGCCAGCCAGTGTAATTTGTTTTTATTTGAAAATAAATTATACTTATTTTACATCAAATTTTATATGACAACAAAGAGAAAATGATGCAAAATTTCCATTCTTGCAAGAGCATACATTTAAAAGATTCCAGAGATGAAAAAAATGTATAAAATATTTTTATTTTAATTTGATTAATTTTCACATTAAAAACACAGAGCTGCTGTAAATATGTGTATTGTCTATAGGCAAATGTTGAATTTGCTACAATTCAACTCATTCATGCTACAATTCCAGTTTTATACAGTCAAAAGTCGTTAATCCGGACTCGTCGGGACTTCGGCGATTCCGGATTATAGATCATCAGTTTAAATCTGGTAAGATGGCATGCAGAAATTACAAAATTAAAAATATGAAACCGTAATTTATGAAATAAAGAACAATTATGATCTAAAGGGTATCAAAATTTACAAAAAGAAAAAGCTTAATATTTATTTGTTTACTTTATTAAACATTTCCTTCAATGTAAGTTGCTTCGTTTCATGTGATAATACTTTCTCTTTAATTCTATTAAACAGACATAATTTCTTGTTTAGTTTACAAAGTTCCGCTGTTCAAGTCCTATAATTGCTGTGTTGAGAATACTGACTAATTTGTCAATCGAAATGTTTTTCGTTTTCAATAACCTCTGGGTCACTTTCTTCACTATCGGAAGCGAATTATAATGACGAGGAACTTGATTTAAATCATATCAAAGACAGAATGAAATACTACACTTAGTATGGAATTATAAACCAAATAAAATAAAAACATCTCTGCCCTGAAGATAAGGATAGTGTTGACAGATCAACTCCCAATCCGCCGCGTGAAATTGATAAACAGATTTCGGATCTCAAAACATACTTTCGCTTTGTAGATACAAATTACATATTAGTAAATATATATCGGAAATTCTATTTGACATAATCTTCTAATCTGTCATTATCTAATAATGACGTTTCTGCCCCCCCCCTCTGCCGCAGAGCAGCGTGAAATTGATAAAACAGATTTCGGATTTCAAAACATACTTTCGCTTTGTAGTAAATATATATCGGAAATTCTATTTGACATAATCGAACGTTCAAGCTTACTTTTATAAAATTGCTCTGACAGTCTGCAAAAAATAATAAGCCGGATCCAATTCGAAGATTAAGGAACAACGCAATCGTCAACATTAACTGAATTAGATAACTTTAGCTTAGCGTATAACTCCGTTACAATTTAAACGCGCATGCGCAGAAAGTTTGTAGCTTTGAGGTCCGGATTATAGATCATTCCGGATTATGGGTGTCCGAATTAACGACTTTTGACTGTATAAGAAAAACCCTATATTCTTGGAATTAAAAAAGAGAGAGGGGGGAGTTAAGGCCTTTTATATCACATGACCTTATATGTATAGCAAGAATGGCCAAACTTCATGTCAGCAAGAGCTGCATGTTGAAATTCAAGAAAGTTCAAGAGCTGCAACTAGATTTTCCAAAGCCACAAGTCATATATATACATCATTTTGAAACTGTGTTTGGCAGACCCTTTTTATAAAGCATCTAAAAGTATTCATCTATCCATTCTTATAGCATCCACAAACAAATCTAACATTTAAAGATTTTCTTTACAAAAGTGTTTGATAGAATCAGTGCTTTTTTTTTTTTTTTTTAGGTTTTTTTGAATAAAATTATTAAGTTTCTTAACTAACAAGAAATGAAATAATTACATATGGACCTTGATCAATTTAAAATTACTAAAAACTTTGTGAAATTAAATTAATTTCTTTTGAATAGAGTAGTATATATCTATGTATTTGTATTGAGTAGTATATATATTATTTGCAGAAGAGCCAGCAAAAGCCGCAGGCGGTTTGTAAGCTGTGCTATGGCCACCGGATATATAAGCTATATATATAAAGTATTCTATTTTGTAAGTAGGTTATAAATTATATATTACATAATAAGTGCTTAAGATTGCATGATATACAAATAGTAGTCAATAAATAAGTTAAAAATAACTACAAAAACAAAAATGCACAGAATTACTTATGAAGCAGCTGGTTTTTATTTTGCTACATATACTTATTTCAGTGATTTAAAACTACTTCATACTAATACTATATATTACATTATATATATTTTAAACAGGCCAAAATACTACATAAAAGTCCCTGAGTTGCTGCAGTAGTTACACATCTTCCTCCTGCCACTTTAATTCATTTTGGCCTGTGTTAAAGCGGTGTCCCCCAAAACAACCAGCTTTCTTTAAATGATGTACTAAAGCATCATCAAAACATTCAAGGCTTATTACAAGTGCTGCTCATTTCAATAATGCAAAACAATTAAATATTTAATAAAGATTTAAGTACATAATTTAGTGTTTTAGATGTCTTAAGATTTGCTGGAGAATCTTGGAATGAAATTTCCAAAAACCTTGAATGATGTCTGAAAGAAAATTTATCCATTCTTTTTCAAAAACGAGGTGAAAACAATGCCAGAAACTGGTCAACTTAATCGTGTAACACAAGAAGACGACAATAGATTTGGAAGTTTACAGTGAAAGACTTCAGCTAGCTTTTGGACTCGCACAAAAAATTTCATCGATTCATTGGTTGAGTTTGTTAAATTTTACAAAGCCTTTGGCATCAAAATAACTCTGTTTCATATAACATATTTATATCAATACTCTTTTACATCAACATGTATGAAAATTACATTATTCTTTTCTAAACAATTTGTTTTAGCCTTTATTCCTATTTAAATGAAAATCATATGCAAAGTTAGGTCCCAATTTACAAGCTTTTCCACTTATTTCATAAGTTCGGTATCACCTCATTAATTTTTCCTGCTCGTGTACATAACTAGTAATGTATGTTCAAATGGTAATAAAAATAATTTTTGTACTTTATTGCAATCAATAACGTTTATTTCAAGATTTCAAAACAGACAATCAGATCATGAATGCAAATTTATTATTTTACATCACCAAATCTTACGTGATTAAGATTAGATTAACATTAGGTTAAGATGTTACAATCACCTCAAACCAGTGGCATAGTGAAGAAGGCAAGGATGTCTATTATGGCCTGTGTGCCTCTTTGACAGGGGTGCTAAATGGTCCCCATGACAAACAAAATTTCCCGAAAATTTAAATTTTTTACTTTGATCGATTTCTAGGAAATACATTTTAAATTATAACTATTGTAATATACAGTAATTGTCTCATTTCTTGATTCGTCTGATAAAATGTAATAAATAATGTTTGCAGTAAATCAAGCATATAAGTTTGTCATTTTAAAATGATAACAAACAATACACTACAGTCTTTTATTATATTACATGCCCTTCGACCTTGAACTATTTTTAATTTGGCGGCTGAACTACTGTAACTATATAGATATCTTTATTATGCATTTTACTTTTTAACATCTAATTGATGATTCTATAATTCAGTGAAAAGTGTATAAGTAAAATTGTTAACATAATAAAATAATTGAAGAGATAAAACAAAATTCAAATTTTATTACTATAATATTTGCAGTTTGAATTAAAGTGAGTTTTTTATTTATTTTTGGTTGTTTATTTTTATTTTATTTTATTTTTATTTTTTTTTTTTGCTGTGTTTGTTCAAAAGTAATATCTTATTTAATATAATAGAAATTTATTTTTATTTAGACCATGTCAACGGCAGGATAAAAAACTTAACAGTTCTCAGAATTGGAAAATAAAAAAACAGCAAGGAAAAAAAAAAAAAGAAAGAAAGAAAGAAACTCAGAACTCCAGAATAATAATCGAATCATATTTAGTATATTTAGATGTTGGGCTTTCCGCAGAAAATGAAATTTCTGGCATTTTGAAAGCGTTCTTGATCGTCTGCAACAGGAAATAAGCACAAGATTTACACAACTAAGTGATCTTAATTCCAAATCTGAACTTTTACTTAATGTTGAGAGTCTATTAAATTAGTATAATATTAAATTAAATTTATTTATTAAATTAGTATAATATTATTTATCTTGAAAAGAATTGTAAGAATTTGGGTGAATTTTATAATAGAGATTTTAATGGAACAGAGCTCTACGTCGAAATATGTGACTGAAAGATATCATTCCACAGCAGAAAAAAAAATTTAGCCTAAAAATCTATTAGAGCTTCTTACCTTATAATCTCAAATGGAGAAAATATTTTTCCAAACCTGAGAATCACACATGAAATACTCCTTACTATTTCAGTACCAACTGTTAGCTATGAACATTTGTTCAACAAATTAAAATTAATTTCGACATATCTACAATCAATGATTGGACAAGATCGACTAGTGACCTGGCATTTTTAAGAGTGGAACGATAATAATTTGAAATTATCAACTTTGATGAAGTATAATTCATAAGTTTACTTCATCAAAAGCAAGAATAATGTACACATAATAATTAATTCTATAAATATATTACAGTATTATATTAGTATTAAAAATATCCACTTGTATATATTATTTTTTTGATTGTTTAAAAACTGTGTTTTTGAAAACAATTACAGAAATATGTTTTCAACTAATTCTAGATGACTGTATGCCTGCTTTTTCCACTGATACACATTTTCGAATCCAATTCTATTTTTTAAATAGATTTTTTGTCTCAAATTTAAAACCTAACCTGAGCTTGAGTCTCTATTTATCGCAAAAAATAGTATAGTATTTAGTACAAGCGTAGTTAGGTAATGACTATT